CCTGGCCAGTCGCCGTCGGTGTTCGGGAGGGCGATGGGCGGGCCTGCACCAGCACCCGACGACCGCTCGCGCACGCCCCCTCCCGCCGCGAGGACCGCGCGTGCCCCGCGCTCTCTCCGCGCCTCTCCTCCGCCTGCCACTGGGGGGCACTCTGCGGCAGGCTCGCGCCGCGTCGACCTTGGCGGCGGCACGGGTCGCGGGCGTGGGAGGTTGAACGCTCAGGGGCGCCCAAGAGCCTGGCATCGCTCGGACGTGTGCATTTTTTCTTCGGCGAGGACCATCGAAGAGCATCCTTGATCATTTGGCGAAACAACAACCACGCACGAAACTGAACAAAAAACACAGGGAATGGACGTCCGAGCGACGGCAAGGAGTCGAAGAAGAAAGAACGCCATGGACATAAAGTTGTGGCGCTCCGCGCGGATTTCTTGGCTCCGCGCTGGGCCACCTCGGCGGCGCCTCCAGCGCCGCCTCTGGCGCGTTCTTCGCGCCAGGGAGGGGGGCCAGCGCAAATCCAAGAAATCCGCGCGGAGCGCCAACATTTTCATGTTTATGCCGTTCTCTCTTCTCCTAAAGGGGGCGGGGTGATGACTAGGGGGGGTGGATATCATGGCGGGGGCCATGCTATCTCCCCAGACCTCATGGCCCCCCCCTCTTCTTCTTTCGATGCGCCCCTTGGTCTCCGCCTCGTCCGAGCACATGCTTCGGGCTATGGTTTGCGAGCCCCTCTCTTGGGCCCCCCCCCTCGTGGCCGCCCCCGAAACGCAGCCGGTGGCCGGGAGGCGGTTAGCATCGAGCGATCTGCGCCAGCTCAAAACCGAGGTCGTTCGATGCTGAACGGTCCACGCTCGGCGACTCGAGTGGGTGTCATTACAGTCAAAGCGCATAGGAAGGATGAGCCACTTTCCAAGGTTACCCTTCCATCCTAACCCCTTCGGCTCGTCCTTGGCCGCTTTCGCTGCCCGCGCCCCGCTCGAAAGGTGTCGACATGGCCTTCCAAGGCCCTCTCATCCTCACCGCGCATCCTTGTTGTACGCGTTGTCTGTGCGCCAGGGTGTGGTTTGAGAATGGCGACACTGGGGCTTAGGGGGTCGCCACGCTGCGCCAAAAGTTTGATGGACCCTCGTCGGGGCGCGGCAGAGATCTCACTCGGGGTCGTCGCCCGCCTCCCGAGGGTGCGTGCTGCAACCACACCCTTCGCACACCATGCACCTCGGAGTCGCCGATACGCGGTGCCAGAAACCATCGCCGACGTCATCGCAACGTGAACCCGACGTAGCTGCACAGCCATGGTATGGAACCTGCGAGAGGCCACCTTTGTCCTGACAGTTACAGTTGGCACGCATAGTAAGGATGGGCAATCTTCCCAAGGGTACCCTTGCATCCTTGTCTTCTGGGTTCATCCTTGGCCACTTCAATTGGCCGCACTCCTCTCGAAAAGCTTCGAACTGGGCAGCCCTGGAGCCAGAACCTGGATGGCCACGTTCGGGCCGCCAACGGCAGAGGACACGAGGAGCTTCGCGCGCGCCCCCCCCCCCCATGGGAACGCCGATGGGCCCTCCGACGCGAAGGTGTAATAGCCGCATGGGCCCAATCCTGGGGGGGCGTCCCAGACGAAACCCCACCCAGCAGCTACCGACTCGGGCTCCCCTGCCTGCTATGCCGCGGGGACAGCGAAGACACATGGTCCATCACGACGCCGGAAGGAGTCCAACACCGCGCCTTGGCCACCCTCCATCCCGCCGGCGCAGGCGCTCCGTGGCCCGGCGCGCGGCGAGGACGGACGGACCTCGGCGCGCGCTGCTCGGCGGCAGCGCGAAGCCGTGCACGCCGGACGCGCAGGCGGTCGCCGCCCGGGCAGGGTGGTTGCGGGCCCACGCGCGGCGACAGTGCCTGAGACCACCCGCGCCCCGGGGAGGAGCCAGGGCCAGCGGCGCAGAGCCGTGCCCGAGCGCCTGGGGACGGGGCGGACGCGCGCGGTATTCGACGCGCTCGGCGCGCAGTTCGACCCGATGTGCCTTCGGCCGAGGCTCGTGCCACCGATGTGCGCCGGGGGAGACGGCACCGAGGTCGAACGCCCCGCGTGGTCAGATCCCGTGGAATTCCTTTGCATATTGGATCGCCTGCTCGCAACCGTCGCTGCTGCACTGATGCGGTCACAATTTTGCCCCGACGTTGCCAGCCAGCTTGTCGCCGACGGGATGGTGGCGGCCGAAGCAGTGCAAGGCAGGGATTCACCCGCGCAGTGGGCAGCCAGATGCTGCGCCAGACGCTTGGCTCGCCCCCCTCAGTGCACGCGCCCTGGCCAAGTCAACTAGGGAGGCCGATTTCCTTTTCATGCGACGACCAGGCGCCCTCTAGAGGCTGGTTCACGGTTTCGTCTCCCCCAAACCGAACCTGTCATAGTGGCTCTTTCTTTGGAGACGAAAAGGGTCGCGCGCCGAAATCCATTCCAGACGAAATTGAGGTTTTTCCTAGAGTTTCAGTGTGCAGGCGCGCCCTGCCGCGCGGTGGTTTCCAGGCGCACCTTAGAGCGTGCTGACGCATAATGCAAGGCATTCGTATTGCACGTTGCGCATGCTATCGCGTGCGAATCACGCATGGCTTGAGCTACTTCGCAGACGCTTTCTGGCGAGGGGTTTCGAGGGCCCTCTCAGGGCCCGCTGGGGTCGCCGAGTGCCGAGAGCTCCCGGCAACCATTGTCGACTGTTGGCAAAAGCAACGTCGCCGAAATGGCCGCCGATAGAGCCGTCGAAAGGGCCGCCGGGATTGCCGCCGAAGGGGCCGCCGAAAGAGCCGTCGGAAGGGCCGCCGGACTTGCCGCCGAAATTGCCGCCGAAATTGCAACCGAAATCGCCGCCGAAATTGCCGCCGAAATTGCCGCCGAAATTGCCGCCGAAATTTCCGCCGAAATTCCAGATGGCTCCGCCGAAAAGAGGCCGAATTTGACCTTGGCTGTGACTCTATGCCTGTGTCTGCGGCGTCATCGTGCTTACTGGAACAGCGATTTCGCTTGCGACGGGGCAGTGAAAATTTCGGCGGCTGAATTTTGGCGGCGATTTTGGCGGCTGAATTCCGGCGGCTATGTTGGCGGAGTTCGCAATTATTTCGGCGGCAATTTCGGCGGTGAGTTCGGCGGCAAGTTCGGCGGCAAGTTCGGCGGCAATTTCGGCGGCAATTTCGGCGGCGAGTTCGGCGGCAATTTCGGCGGCAATTTCGGCGGCGATTTCGGCGACGATTTCGGCTGCCCTTTCGGCGGCCCTCCTGGCGGCCCTTTCAATGACCATTTCGGCGGTTTTGCTTTTGACAGCTGCCGACGAATGCTGCTGGGAGCTCGCAGCACTCAGCTGCGGCAAAGAATCGATGTGCGGCGACGCAGGCTGACCTGACCTCAGCCCGACGATGATTGTAGCATGTGTTATCTTGTGGTTTTGGCGGTGATGATGGCGACGGCAGCGGTCGTGTTTGGTTTGGTTCAACATGGATGCTCGCCAGGGGGCACTGCAGGCTGGCCTACGCGCCCAGCACTGCGTGCTTTCAAAATAGAAACTCCTTTGGAATTCGGCGGCTATTTGGGGGGCCATGGTGGCTCCAAAGGGTTGTCCTCGGTGAAACCTGGAGCGACCTTCGCGACGGGGCCTTCCTGGACCGCCTCCTGCAACACGTCGCCCAGCTCCGACGATCCACCCTACCTCGCCTCCTATCCTGGAACGGCAGATACCTGCCAGTGTGCTCGCCCAAAGGAACCAGGCCAAACTCGCTGCCATCGCGCAGGACACAGTGGCCGGGCGCGTTGCCGCACTGCAAGATATATTCCCACGGGCCCGAGCACGAATGTGGAGCATGTGCAGCCATGTTTCTAGCAGGGCGCCTCGGTGCCATCCCAGCCTGCATCGGCCCCGCAGGAGGACTCGCTGGCGGAATCGCTATTCCCCTTCCCAGCGACTACGGTATCTTATCTCCCACGACCCTCATCCACGGCAAGGCCGTCGCGGAGCCGAGACCCTGGCGCTCCCGGGCGCAGCCCTGCCCCCCCATGGCGACGTGCCCACCTTCTGGGGTGGCGACATCAATCTCCAGTGAGACGATCCCTGGGAGGGCGAAACCGACCGCATTGCCACCTGGATGGCGTTGTTGGCCGGGCGCGCTGAGCACCCTGTTGCAGTCGAAGGCCCAACCAGATTGGGCAGGGGGGGGTTCTCTGATCGACGCCGTTGCATGCCGCGCGGGGGCCGCCGGCTTCTACTGGGTCGCCAAGGCCTGGGAGATCCCTCTCTCTGACCATGCGCTATTTTCGGTGGCCCCGCGGCCCAGGCGCAACGCCTTTAAGCGATGGGCGTTAAAAAGTCGTTGCCAGGTGGGACATTCGCGGAGCTACGCCGGAACTGCGCCCATGTCGAGCGCATCTTCCAAGTGCCGCGAATTGGCTTCTCAGGCCCCCCGCAGCCCTCCGACTGGGCGCGCGCCGCCTCCCTCGGATACTTCTGCGGGCGTCGCCCCGTCGACGAAATCGCAGCCGACTCTCCCCGGTGGGCGAAGTCCTGGAAGACCGCTGCAACCCCGTTGCTGACACTTCCTCGCCTCATCGAAACAATCTACTCTGGCAGGCGCGCACTCTCTGCCGTGATCCAGTCCTGGTGGAGGAGGTGGGGGAACATGTTCGCGCGAAATGCCCAGGGCGCCTGCTCGCGCAAGTTGTCAGAAGCGGTGGGCCGCATGGGCCAGCCGGAGCGCTTGCCTCTTGGGTGGGGGCCTTTGGATGGGGCGGGCGGGATCTCGACCCCGCGCGGGCTGCTCTCTGGGCGGTGCGGTGGCAAGCCGACCGAGGCCGCGCACGGGCGGCCCCTCTCACCGTGCCAAACAGGCGCCGGCGTCGCACGGGCGCCCGTCGCCCCGCGCTAAGGCATGGAGAGGGATATATTCAGGAAGGCGCACTCCCTCCGAGGCGTTGGGCGACGGAGGCGCGCGGACAGACAAAGCGGCCGACGCAGACCAAGCGCTGCGGGATAGCCGCGCGGGCACATGGCAAACCGCTACCCCCTCTCTGACAGCGCCCGCAGGTTGCTCGATGACTATTGCGCCAGCGGCAGATGCGC